CTATGCCGACTTAAGATATCACCGGTTGCTTCCACAGTGCTGTTGATGCCAACGGAAGATGTGTCAGCGAAGAAAGGAAAAAGAAAAATCACAAGTTGTGAGAGTTTGCGCAGGGCAATTTTGTATTGATTTTGTAGGGGCTTTTCCTGATGCACATCGTCCCCTATTTATAGTACTGAACCTTGAGTCCGAGTTTACATCCTACTTGGACTAGGTTTCCCTCTCCGGATCACCTCGACCAGTCCTACACCTATTAGGACTATGAACCTAGTCCTTAGCTAAGCTGGATTAATTTCCTGGATATCCGATCCCGTCGAGACTCCCCATTGCACTAGGATTCGTCTTAACCGCCCTAGGTTTGGACTCCCACGGGTTGACCGATCCATGGTCCTTTTGCCGCCCGGCCTCCTGGGCCGAGAGTGATCCTACCCTCGGCCCAAACTATTATTTTGGGCCCAAACAGTATTATAACGTGATAATAAATATTTTTTTCTTTTTAGTAAATACCGAGAAAGTTGTCACTTAACACATCTAATGATATTTCTCTTCATTTGTAAGTGAGGTTTTAGGTTCGATTCGCGCCAAAAGTGAATTTAAATCACATTATTATTAATCCATTGTAAGGTTAAGTCAATCATTTCTCTATTGGCGTAGTAGATAATATCGCTTGGCAAAAAAAAAATACCGAGAAAATCAGGAATCAGAAAAATATCATGTCATTATAAGTATATGAACGTGCGTCACAAGTAAACTCAGCAGGTTCATGGGTGAGGATGGGAAAGAAAATATGAATCATCAACCAAGAGATGATGAGAGTTACGAAAATGAGGGACCATTGGATAAGAGTACATAGAAGGAAGTTAAAAAGGTATATCACTGGATCAAATTTATTAAAGTTATGTGACAGGTAAGTCATTAACCTTGTTCTACAAGTAAATTAAGAAAAAAAAGGATCCTAAACTCAAAGCTTGGAAAATACAGAATCCTAAACTGCCAATAAAAATGGTCAAAAATATAGAGAGGTTGAAAGCTCAAACACCCTAATTTAACAATGTCCCTAAAACAATGCTAGAATCTTTACATGTCTTCTTGTTGTGGCCAAGCCCCTTGCACTTGCTACATTGCAGCTGCCGTTTTATTATGTCGTCTGATTCCATCTGCTTCGTCTTTGGCCGCCCTGGCGGCCGCCTGGTGGGCGGAGGGGTAACAGTAACTACTGCTTGGTTTGATTCACCCGTGTGTGGTCTGTCTACATTAGGAACAGGGTGAATTGATTCTCCATAAGTTAAACGGTAACTCTCCACTGTGAAGTATCTGGAGCAGTAATCATAAGGGTTCCTGCCAATAACTAAAAAGACAGCAATAGCATGGCAGCAAGGCAGACCAGTGAGATGCCATCCCTTACAGGTGCAATCCCAATGGTCGATGTCAATAGTGTCGACAGATTCTCCACGAACCTCGAATGTGCTTCCATGTGAGAGTAACACTTGAAGTGATCGAGCAATTTCTGTTTCCTTTTGAAGCTTTTCCTCCTTAGATGGTGTTAATCTTGTCACCCATTGGTTGGACTCCACCCCGCGTGAATAGAAGGCTTCCATCATATTGCCTCGTAGTACGTCAATCATCTGCGTAATTGGCAACTCATGCGCCTCTGATACCCAACTGTAGAACTGCTGTCCGAAGTTCGATGTCATGTGGTTGTACCTGCCTCCTCCGCAGAATGCATTAGCCCAGTGCACGGGCTCACTTTGTATGACCCAATTGTAAGCATCCGGTGAAATATTTTTTATGTTGTCAGCACTACGCTGGAAAGCCTCCTGAGTGGGTGCATAAGCAGCCGCATAAAAATCATTGATCATGAATCGTCTTGCCTCGTGAGAAAATTGGCCCTTCAAGTCCTTGTTAAGTTTTTCAGCAAGATGCCTCAAACAATAGCAGTGGTAACATTTATCAAATACCTCGGGCAATGAATTTTTCAATCCATTCTGAAAATCTGCTACAAATGTGATCGGCTGAGATGTTGCCACTGCCAATTTCAGTTCTAGTAAGAACCAGTGCCAGTTCTCATCAGTCTCATTATCCACAACAGAAAATGCAACCGGAAATACACCATCATCAGCATCTGCGGCTGTTGCAGCCAACAAAACTCCTTGATATTTTGAGTTCAGAGGAGCGCTATCAAGAAAAATTAGAGGGCGGCAAGCTTCTATGAAACCCACAATTGATGCATGGAAAGATACAAAGAAACGATGGAAGCTCGAGTCTTCCTTAGTAGTAAATGAAGCAAAACTCCCTGGATTAGTTTCCTTTATCTTCTCGCAGAAATACGGCAACTGATTATAGGCCTCTTTATAGGAGCCTTGAAGCTGCTCCCTGGCAATCTCTTTAGCACGCCATGCCTGAGAATAATTCAACTGAATCCCGTATTCCCGCTTAATGTCCTCTGCTATAGCCTTTGGCTTGTAGTTTGGGGAAATTTTCAACTTCTCCTTTATGATACTTCCCACCCAACCTCTCGTTGCCCGATACCCAGCTTTCACAGCAGCTCCTTCACATGTATGATCCGTGTTCATTTTCTTGATACAAATCAACTGGGTTGTAGACAACCTTGATGCATATATCCTCCATGGGCAATTTTGACCTTTGCATTTGACAGTGACACGATGACTGTCATTTTTCTTATACCTATAAGCAAATCCATGTGCAATTGAAAACTTATGCAATGCTTCTCGGAATTCGCTAAAACTATTAAACCTTTGGTCCACACCAGTGATGGTGCTTTCCCACTGTTGTGCAGCTTTATGATGCATATCATCACTAGAACAACTAGGAACACGAAGCGAAGGGATTTCATGGAGTTCCATATCAATTTGGCCATCAGCATTGTCAGTATTGTCAGCATCAACTCGCATATCAACGGGCTCAACAAAAGGAACAACTGCTTCCGATACAGTTGTCCTGCTTGACCTGCATGTCCAAGCGTTCAAATGAGAATTACATGCAAAAAACGTGCAGGGAAAACGTCACTTTTGTTCAGTTAAGTGCTTCTTTTTGGGTACACAAGCACAGTACAATCACATTTCATAATGGGATATGAAAAGGCATGCACGTGTTGCAATCAGTGTTCAACAAAAACTGAAATAATAAACACATTTCCATCGTCTCTGTTCCACATTGTGATTGCTGCAATTGTAACCCAAACCGAACTACAAAAGATTATTCATCCAGGGAAAAACACACACAAGGGGATATCAAAACGGCAAGAAATAAGATGAACTAAAACAAAATGTACCTACTAGCAGGCATGATGGACAAATTTCGAACAGCAGCTTCCTCTGTCATGACAAATACATCGACAGTGTCTGTATCCCCGAGAAAATTGACCATTCGTTGCAAGTCTTTGTCTTTAGAGATCGTAATGAGAGTCTTCTTATTGCCGGGAAGGAAGTACTTGATGGACATTGTATCAGCACTACAATTAAACATATCCTCTATTTCGGACTTAAAATCACCAAGCAGTGTTTTCTCATCAATGCCAATCGCATGAGCGTCGCCCCCAGAGTACGATAAATTTCCATCCTTATCCATCACAAACTCTGTGCCCAATTTACATATTGCTATAACCTTCTTCGCAGCCATGGCCTACCCACCCAAAAAGACATTTGTATATGTTTATACACAAGAAATCATAACAAAAAGTTGAAATCTACAATTTGCTCGAAACAATTCACACAAGAGGGTCGAATTTCATAGTTCATAAGAAACTAAATTACACAGAATGAAGCTAAGTTTCTGAAATTACATAAGCAGGTTTAATTTCACAGTTGAAAAGAATCTAAGTTCCAGCTACATTCACAAAACTAACCCCAAATTTTGAAACCTTTGCACATATCCATACCCTAAATGTTGAAATTACAAAAATCCCAAATACCCAATTTATTTATTTTCCATAAAAACATGAAATTATCCATCTACACAAGTAAAAATTTCAGAAAATTCTGGGTATAACAAGTACAATAAAATCTAGCGTATAATCAAAGGTAAAAGAAAAACAAAAATCAATTACAGAGTAAACAAAATTAAACAATGACGACAGAGCGGGAAACAAGAACCCTAATACGAAACAATTGCAAGTAAATAAAAATCGAAACCCTAGATTTTGGGGAAATTAAAAATCAAACCTTGACGCCAGACTGAGATGAATATCTCTGCTGAATCTATGAGACGCCTTCTGTTTCTGAAACAGATGAAAGTCGAAGGAGAGCTCCGAGAGAGGGAGCGAACCGGGTAATGAGACTTTGCCCTTCCAATTGCCTGCACCCGTGTGCAAATTATACTTGTTGGATTAGCTAATCTATCCAATCAGATTGCAGGGGCCCACATAACATTGACGTGGGCCCTCACGTAATTGGAGAGACCATGTTTCACTTTTACAAGCCGGTACAGTGTGTACCTGCACATTGTGTCCCGGTCTTCCAATCATCCGATTACACATGTCCCGTAGTTTTCATTGGATGAAGTACGATAAGACCTTGGGTTAGGTAGGGTACTTCTAGGGATGGGCAATGGTTATGCGGGCGGGTAACCGCGGTTATTTTACCCATAATCGTTTATGTTCATACCAGCATAACCGTTTACCCGTTGGGTAATTATATAAATGGTTATACCAATAACCATAACCGTTTATAAACGGTTATCCATACCCATAACTGTGTACCCATTTCCCATAACCATTTACCCATTTAACCATAACCATTTACCCGTTTACCCATGTTTTTCGCCCGTTTATCATTTTTTTACCCATTTACCATTTTTTTTCTCCCGTCTACATTATTTTTTTAACGATAGTTAATCAAAAAATGGAAAGCACTTCCAACTACTTTTCCAAGAAGCATTTTCAATAAAAATTTCGACTTTTGTTCTTTATTTTTTGAGTTTCCAATCAATCGACTTTTGTTCTTTAATAAAAGCACTTCTATGTAATTGACCCAAAAAAAAGCACTTCTGTGTAGTGTTTTCTACCTAAGGAGTCCCAGACTGGCCTAAAAGTGTTTTCCATTTTCATTTTTCTAGGCAACCAAACAGATGATAAGAATTAAGAACCAAAATGCTTGCGTACCTGAACGGAATACTTGACGGCTATCTCCTACTCCAACTAATATTGCTACCAAATACTTCTCTCTGCTGCTTCTTCTTCTTATTCTTCCCCTCACCTCCATGGTCCTCCTGCATGCGCCCCTCCTCACCTGAACACACTACACTTTCTCCCCCTCTCTCTGTGCTTCCAACACTGCAATGGCTGATCACCCTTCTGCTGACTCGCTCTCTGTGGCTCGCTGGCTCACTGAGTTCGTGCTAATCGCCTCGACTTTGGCTGCTCTGCCTCTCGTTAGTGGCACCACCGATGCTTCTGATGGTATTTTCTCATTATTTATCTATTTTCAATAATTTTCTCAGTAAAATTCTTTTTATTAAATAAAAGTTTTGAGCTTGATTCTGGGTTGGTTTTGTTTTATGATTTTGATTGGAAATATTGATTTTTTTTTATTGAAAATGGACTTTCGAGTCTTTGACTTTGGGGTTTTGTGATTTTGTGATCTGTTGATGTATTTTTTTTTTCTTCAAAGATGAACCCCTTAGGCCTTGTTTGGCTGATGAGAAGGGAACAAATTGTAGGAAATTAAAAAAATGCAGGTGTTTTTTGCTTTTTTTTTTCTTTTTCCATTTGATGTTGATTTGGTTAGTGGAAAATGAGAAATTTCATCATAACTTGGCTAAATTCAGCTCAGAGGAGTTCACCTAATTGCATAGAGGAATCAAAGCTTGAAACTTTTCCCCATTTTTTGTAGTTTTGGATTTATCTTACCAGATAGCAAATGAAGGCAGGAAATAAGTAGCTAGGCTTTTGTGAGAAATTGGTGTGCTTTTTTCAAAAGTGATGTTCTTTGCTTTGCAGTTCAAGCACTTCAGGTATTGTACACCTCAGTAAACAGTCCTTCTCAGCTAATCGGTTGGAAAAGTAGTGGCGACGGACGGAGAGAGAGAGTGACGAAGTCGAAAGGCGGAGAAAGAGAGTGACAGAGTTGTACTCTGAGGGTTTTTAATTTTTTTTTTAATTTTACATATATTAAATTAAATAGGTAAATGGATACCCGTTATAACCATGAATATTAACCATAACCGATGGATACCTGTTATAACCGCGGATAATACCCATAACCGCCTATTTAAATTTCATGGATAAACGGTTATACCTATAACCATTTATTTGTTTAAACGGTTACCCATAACCATAACCATCAACTTTAAATGGGCGGGTAACCGCGGTTACCCATACCCATGGGTATTTTGCCCATCCCTAGGTACTTCGAGAACTCTCACCTTTCTTTTTTCCATTCGTATTTGAACGGTTACAGGCCTCAACATTTTATATTAATTTTTTTATACAGACAAAAATAAAATGTGAGAGAACGGAAGGGGAGGGAAATAGGAAGAGAGAAAATCTTACTTATATTTTGACTTAACATCGGTCTCACCCAATGTACAAAATGTTCTATAAGAACAATCGTGCCAAAATTTCTCTCGTTAAGTATGTGGATGCAAATTTCTTCCTCCTTGATCTTGGACGATTTTGCACCTACAAAACAATTAACACCTTAGGTTAAGGCCAAGAGCCTCATGCGCCCACGATGAATGGGGTGGCTTTGGCCGAAGAACCTCCGATGCCAAAGTTAGAATTTAGAGAGAAAGAGTGTTTAGAGATTTTTGAGATTTTTGCCAAAGTGTTGGAATGAATATTTGGTGAAAATATGAGCCTATTTATATGGCTAGGTTGGTTTAGGTTTTATTTTGGTTTAATTAGCCAATTAATTGGCTAATTAAACATAAAAGGAAATATTTTTGTGGTTATGGAATTAATTGGCTAATAAAAAGGAAGAAATGGTGAAAAAAGGTAGAAAAAGTGATGGATTAGGTTTTGAATGGGGATAGCCGGCCATGTGGTCTTTTAGGGTTGAATTGGATGTATTTTGTGGTTATTTGGATATAATGGATGGTTTAATTGACAATTAATAGGTTAATTAGGCAATAAACCCATTAATTAACCAATTAACATAATTTAAAAGGAATGTGTTTGGAAATTACCTTGTAGAAAGGATTTGATGAGATGGACTTTGAATTGTTACCTATTTTGGGCACTTCTGTCTTGGTTGAAAGAGGGTTGCCCGCTGCTTGCGCATAGGAACCTCATTGTACTGCAAGGGTATTTTTGTCCTTTTTGTCCAAAAATCCACGTGTCGCCTTGTGAATATTTTTGGCTCCACAAATGCCCCCACACCTGTTGAGCTGCTCGCAAAAGAGCAGCAGGTGTAGAGATCTTCTTGCTTTAGGAAACTTATGACTGCTTCTTATTTTGATGTAGATTCTCTCTTTAATAGGAAATTAGATCCTTCTAGGAAAGGGAAATAAATTTCTCTCAAAGCCTATTTAAGTCCACCTTAAGTGGGTTATTAAATCAACTTTGGAGAGCGATTTATTCTACCCTACAAGAGAGAGATAGCTTAGAGGATATTTGATCCCCCTCCTCTAGCAATCTTCTACATCTTGCCCGTGCAAAGGACCGTCTTTCGTTGCTTTCTTCGTCTTCTTCGTGCCGCACTGAGGTAAGAAAAAATTAATTTTCCTTGTCTTCTTCTTGGATGGTGCTACCTCGGGGCAGCCGTCAGGGTGGTGCGGCATATCGGCTGGCATGGGCCAGGAGTCGGCTTGGCATGGGTCGATGAGGTATTGTGGCAAGGACCACTGCTTTAAGCTGCTCGACTTAGCTAGAACCAATGGCAGCTTATATGGCTGGGGCCACGGATTGTGGCGATGTGGCGCAGTGCTAGACGAGTCACATGGCTAATGTCTTTTTGGGCTTTTGGACATGACGCGAGCTAGGCAGGTGATTGAGAGAAATGAAGAGGTTGCGAGCCTCATGAGCTGTTGGAATGTTGGGTTGAACTCCCCTGCTGGGTAGCACGAATGACGTTGGCTACTTTAATTATCTTCGTCAGGAGAAACGTGGGCTGCTCCCAAAATAAGAGGTGAATAGGATCAAGGCGGATGCATTGGCTCGTCCAATTACCGTTGTGGATCCTGCTGCAAGTGAAGGTGGGAAAATGGATCTTACCTGCCTGCTCAAGAGATGCCGACTGAGAAAAAACCAAAGACATCTTTCGCTGCTTATGCAAAGGATGAAAAGTTGATTGCTGCTTATAATCAAGTGATCCACTTCAAGAGAATCGTCGATAGGCTTGAACCCCAAGTGTTGGAACTTCAAGGTGTACTGAAGATCAACGAAAGTTTGAAGAAAGAAGTGGATGAGTTGCAGCGCGTCCATGTTGGTATTGGTGAAGTAGTTGGAGAAGTTGGTGCCCAAGCTGGAGCAGTAGGGGGTAATGCCGCTGCTAAGAGCTTCGCGGCTGCTGAAGGTGTGGCGACCGAATAGTCGTGGGATATCCAGGTTGCTAAAGTGTAGTCATCTAGGTAGCCTTTAAGATTTTCTTTGTTTTTCCTTGTAGCTCTTGTTTAGCTTGAACTCCTTCGGCCTTTGCTAGTCGTTTATAAACATGTTTTCCTTAGCTTTTCTTCATTTTTGCTTCTTTTGTTCATGCCCTAACCTTTAGACTTGATAGACCAGTGGCAAGCATACTACTTTTTTATAAGCAGACAAGCTCGCGTAGCCTATGCAGCCGTAGGTGTTGGTGTAGAACTTTGCAAAGTTGTTAGCCATTGGGTTGGCAGCCGGATGCCTTACTTACAGAAGCAGACAAGTCTGCGTAACCACTAGGCTGTTAACCTTGACTTTCTCCAATTCCGTAGGTTGCGTAGCAAGTATCACAACACTTTAGGACTTGTTGTAGGTTGTTCCGCGCTTGGCAGAGGTGAAGCTTATCGACTACGTAGCATGTCGGCAGTGGATAAAACTTCGTATATGCGTGCTAGCTTGTTTAACCTTTCACAAGAATGTGCGGTTGTATAAGTCTAGTGCGGCTTTACTGCTCGAAGGGCAAATCATAGGCAGTCTTCCGAAATCCGTAGGCTACCTTAGTACACTCGGTAGCAGCTTTAGGATTCCAGGGCAGCCGTCCATCGGATGTACTGCGTAATGTGCCCTCTCCGTCTCTAGGGCTCGGTTCCCCACGGATTAGGCTAAGAGACCCAAAATCCTTCAGTTAGCTAAGCCTTGAAAAAGACCATTGCGGCTACTTCTAAGAATCCCGGCGTAAGCCATCGTGCATCTAGTTATACTAGGGCAGCTCGGCTCATCCACGTCTGGATATTTGGAGTGTAGAGTTTATCCTCTCGTTCTTGGAGAGCTGACTCATGTGGGTGTCGGGGAATTGGTTTACCCTCTCGCGTTGGAGAGCAATTAGTTTACCCTCTCGCACTGGAGAGCATGGTTGGTCCATCGGGGGTGCAATTCCTGCGGTAAGTCCCCAAGAAGGGCGCAATCTTCTTTTGAAGTGCATGAGTGATCAGTTGTTGTAAGCATGCAGCCAAGCCAAGTCGTGATTACTTCTAAATTCCTCATTGAAAAACGAGTTAAACGAACGAGAACTTAGATGTAAGGTAAGAACTGCATAACAATTGGATAATCCTCGGCTGATGAGGTAGTGCCCGTCGAGCTGCTTGAGTCTTCGGGCTTTGATGTAGCGAGAGGTCACACATGGTACTTCCTCAGATTGTAGGCGTTCCACTGTTTTCAATCTTTTTGTCGTTTTATGGTGGTGATGGTGTAATTGTTCTTGCCACCTACTCTGCTGATCTTGTACGGACTTTCCCAGATGGGATCCATATTTTTGGAACCTTTTCTGCTAGCAGTGATGAAGGTTTTTCTTATGACCAGATCTCCGGGCTGGAACTGCCGGATCTTGGCCCTTTTGTTGTAGCTGGAGAGGAGCTGATGCTGGTAGGCTGCAATGCGAGTGATAATCTGTTCGCGCCTCTCTTCTGCCAAATCTAAGCTTGTGGCCATCTCTTTTCGGTTGCTTGTCTTTTGGTTGTACGATATGCCCATAGACATCCTTGGAGTTCGTCTGGCCGTTTTCTTTTCTTAGTGGTGGGGGATTTCTTGTGGCAGTTGAGGATCATCTTAGGATGCTTTGGCTCGCCTATTGCCTTGAGGATATCTTGGCATAGACATGTGCTGCTTGATGCCATATTTTTGGAAGAACTTCGCCAAATCTTTGCCCATGAATTGCGGGCCGTTGTCGGTGATGATGGATTAAGGGATGCTAAATCGGCAAATGATACTCCTTCATATGAAGCGCTCTATGTCCGTCTAAACCATGATCGTCATGGGCTCTGCTTCTACTTATTTGGTGAAGTAGTCGGTTGCCACGATCATCATGATTTTGCCCCTGGTAGTCTGGCTGGTGATTAGCTAGGACTCGGAATGAATGGAAAGCTTTTTCACCACCAAGTCTTTTGTCATTTGAAGGCCTGTTAGTAGGGCTTCGTACTCTGCTTCGTTGTTAGATGCTTTGAAGTTTAAAGTGATCGCATGTTTAAGCATTGAAACGTCTGAGGTGGTAAGAACCATGGCTGCTCACGAGCCTTCGTAGTTTGATGCGTTGTCGACATGCAAACGCCAGAAATCTCCATTGAGGGAGCAGGTGTGGCTAAAGTGTGATCGGCTGCCTTTGGGGCATCGTTGGACCGAGTTGTTGCGTTCGTCATAAAACTTTGCATCTGCCAGGGTCTACGCCCTTATCGTCGCCGATTTGGATTCAGCGGAATAGTGCGTCATGATGATGACTGCTTGCGTTTGAAGGTAAAATTTAAGTCTGATGTGAGGTGGATGATGCTCCTTGTGGGCTTAGCCGCAAATGGACACTTTGTCCGGAAGGTTGCTCATGTTAACTATCGGAGTATGACCCCAACTGTGAATGTATGCTCATCTGTGGGCTTAGTCGAGAGTGCATGCTCCTCCGCGCGCTAAGACGGGAATGTACACTGTCCAAACGTTCGGCTCGTGGCTGGTCGAGTGGCTGCTTGCCAGGACACTGTTGGAAAGGTCCGTCTGCCCTTGTCCTACTTCGGGATACCTTGTCCGGGGCACGTTGGATCTCGATGCGTTGCAAAAGTTGATTCACTAAGGTTGTCTAT